GTCCTTTGCAAAATTGGTTCTTCTGGTGTGCGCCAGGCATCTGCACCAAAACCGACCTTGGATAGAAAAGTGGTGAGAAACCACTGCAGCCTTAAAGACTTGCACCAACACGGACATTTTTGGTCAAACTTGCCATTGATAAAGACATCAAGGGACATTGAAACAACTTCCGCTCTGCATCATCTGCCAAAGCCTCTCCATTCAGGAGTCGCTGCATCGCACTCGAGAAGTCCACAATCGATGAGAGCCTGCGCAAGGACCAGGCTACAAGTAGAACACCCCAGAACAGCTCAAGGACCCACGGATACCTGATTTCAACGCATTCAGCTCACAAGCCTGGGACCAGCACTGCGCACTGCAGTACGGAGTGTCTTGGCGCTTCAGGAGTCCAGTGGCCAGTTGCGGTGCATGACATGCTATACACCAACCCCAATCGATGAGGTTTAGGCTTTGCTCTTGGCGCAAGTCCTGCAAAGCGTTCCGTTTCTGTGAAGAGTACCACGGCGTCTGCCGGGGCAGCTACGGCGGCACATGATACCGCATCCACGACGTCTGACAAATTGCCATGGGGCACTGGCTAATCTGACCAATGCCAGCGAATGCCACAGATCGACTTCTCTCCGCGCTCTGCATTATACCGCACTTGCCACCACCACCGCTGTGCAACTTGCGAAGTGCGGCATGAAACGCTTAAGCTACGTGTGATCAAGTGTCGTGAGCGTGTAAGCTTGCCAGCAGCTAGGTAAGCGCTAGCTGGAGCCAAATCCTTCTACCAAGAAGCAAAGTTCAGAAAGACTCTTCAAAGACTCTTCAAAGTAGGGTCCAAGTTTGTCGGTAAACGCCTGCTTCGCTCACCACAGGCCCTGCTTCACTCACCAAGACCTCTTGCGACACATCATAACACTGCAAACCACCGGATGCCATGTATCACTGTATCACCATGTCATTTGTCAAAGCGGAGAAGGGCACGAATAATAAGGGTGTATATACGCATTAAAGCTCTCAGAAATCTTTGCGTCACTCAAGCCTACTAGGACCCACTAGGAAGCCTGCACCAACCTCAAGACGAGGAGCAGAAGCAAGGCCCCCAAAACATGCCGCAATCAAGAGGCTGGCATAAAACCACCATAAAGCGCCCACGGGTTCTAAGGCACGGGCCCCCGAGGATGACGGGACCTCAGCGTGCACCGTTTCAAGTATCATAAGTCGCACCCATCCCCCGCTTATGAAGTACTCCCCACCATTCTGATGTGACATCATAAAGAGTATTGAGGGTGTCGAGATTCATGCGTTGAAGCAAAGCGGCGAAGCAGTCTCGGAGTTTGTGAGGGAAGGGCTCTACTCATATTCTTTCAGCTTCCCCCTGTGTGCTCCAGATGCGTGCTTTAGCGTGAAGCCTCACGGTCTCGACACATCACAGTGGCAACATGCTCCCCATGTCACTCTGTAGGCTACCGCTGTGCGCACCCCAGAACCCTTTTATCTCGACTCTCTGTCAGGAGACACTGAATTTTCTCCACAAATATGCCTCAAGCCCTACGAAGCTGCGCAAACCGAATCAGAAGAAAGGCAGACCATGGGCGTGAGCGCTAAGCCCTTGCAAGTACAGAATCTATGCAATAACCTCCCCAAGGCAAGATAAGGAGCCATCATACCAATTACTAGATTGGACGGATTCATCACTGCGTAACCTCACACCTCGCCCGCCATCTGCAAGTAAGCCCACGTAGCTTCAAATCGGGTAGGCCCTAAAACACTAGTTGCTTGGACATTGCAATTGCGTGATTCTTGCTATCGCTCCTCATCCATCTTACTGGGGGTAGTAAGGAATGAGGGAATAATACATGAGTTAGGAATTCTAAGCCCTTCTCCCCTACCAACCACCAGTAAGAGATAAGACGATAACTACTAGCTACAAGGCTGTTTGCTATGTGGGGCTCCCGACGCCGGGGACTCTCCTCTTGGGCTGCGCTGCCTGGCTTAGGGATTAGGGTTTAGGG